CCAATTCCATCATACATATTGCAGTATTGCTGTACTTGCACAGCACAGTGTTCACAGGTATGAGGTTATTTTCTATAAAATCATTATTACTGAGCTAATTTAGCTCCACATATACCAAAAAAAGATTTAAATGCCTTAGACATTACTGCTATGCAATAATATAATACACAGTATATGGTTACAGCTGCATTAATTACTGATAAGACCTACATGCTTTGAGTGAAGTAAGGCTTTGCATGCAGGACTTGTAATAGAATATTTAGTGTGACACTGACCCTTAAAAGTGAAGAATACTTCCTCCACTACTGAATTTTAGTTGGCTAAACTTCCAAAAATGTGTGGGTGGTATGTCCTTAAGCTGGTCTGTCAAATGAATGAATCAGTAAAATGTTTATGGATGATGTGTTTCTTTTCTGCCAGAATATCTGATATCGTGGCACAATGTCCATTTGTGGTGGCTACAGCACTTTTTATGGTTGGACAAAGATGGTGGAACGTTCAGTGACTTCACACGCAACCTGTCTATTTATACTCAATCAAGGCGACCTTAGCCAACGTGCTTTGTTGTCTAACCCGAGGAGTCTCTCTTTCTGGTGTGACAGTTGTTCACTTTGTCTGGGTTGTATCTCTAAAACATTTATTTTTATGACATAAAACTGACCACATTTATTAAAAGCCAACTATTAAACAGAGTAAAAAGTGACATTCTTCTGTGGAAAATGTGTCTTGCTGACAGAAATTCTGCTGCAAGAAATCACAATAAATTCAGATTTATGGGACAAATGTCATTAGATTGCTGCAAGATCAGTTCATGCACATGAACTGTACATTAATTAAGAGGGTTTTCCCCCAGAAGAATGAAGCGCGTCCTTGTTGTTGGAGGAGAGTTCTAGACACCATTGTTCTTATTCATATACCGTGCAAACACACACATACACAGCTACTGCCTTGTGTTGCGTCATTGGGTGGAGAGAACAGGTATGAGAACAAAAACATCTCCCTCCTATCTGCTCAAAGATCGGTATCTCCCTGTGTGACTATCACTTGGGGTGCCTACGAGTTCAAAAACTGGTGAGTGATCAACTGAAGCTCCTCAAGTTCATCAGGAGATCGCACCATGTTAAGGACAACAGGTCAAATGTTTCCTTTCCTGTTGTTGCCTACCGATGTTTTTATTAAGAGACTTCATTAACTTCCTCTACAATAATGAATATCAAACTTTTCAAGTATGTTGGACTGAAAAATAAAGGTCAACAAAGTGTTACGGGCTATGAGCCCTTTTCCCAGAAGAAGACATCCAAGAAATATTGCATAACACCTGGCAGCGCAGAGGATCTGAGCAGCCAATCAGTGAAGACAGGAGAGTCTCACATGGACAGAAAACTTCATTGCTGCTTGTATTATTTTTCCATTCAACAAAGTGCTACACTCTCATAGTGCACAGAATTTGTAGAGAGGCGTTTAGGGTGAATGATGGGCATGCAAACCTCAGGACACTGGAGACTGGGAATTGACAGTTGACAATTATTATTATTGACAATTATCACCTGACTCTGTAGTTCACCTCAGCTCAAAATGTTTTAGCTTCTTTTGGCTCATTGTTTTGGCTTAGAAACCCACAGCATTCTTTTTGGCAGGCAGCTGTTTTCATTGGGAAAAACTCTAAAACTCCAGGGCACATTGCCTGCCCAATGTGAAATGGCACACAAAGTTAGCAAGTAGCTGGAGAACATATGAACATTTAGCAAGTAGGAGCCACATTTCCCTCAGGAGAGTGGAAATAAAACAAGGCTAAACAGGGGAAGGCTGTTGGACTTAATATTTGTCAGGAGTTCACCTTATCAAAAAGGTGGTGTATGGTGTTACAGCTTGTTTCTGCTGCCTCCAAGTGGTCCATTTAGGCTGTTTACATGTGTGAGGTATGCACAGCCATACAAATGCCCGCATTTACCTGCATGAATAGCAGAGGACACAGGTAACCCTAGGTCAGAATCTCTGAGCTGCAGGAACATGCAGCTTTCTAAACTGTGAGGAGGGAAATATCCAACATTGTGCTCAAAAACTGTCACTCTCAGTGTGGGATCCAGGAGAAGAGGCATCTGCACAGAATCATTAGCATGGTTCAGGGGTTAAAGTGTCCTTACAGGGAGTTGTGAACCTCTCAGAGGGGTTGAAATGCTGCCAAAAGGTGTGTCCAGTGATTTTACTCCAAACTCATGGCTGCCGCTTTGTCAACAAAGTCACGCAACGATGCACAGCACAAACTGATACAATGTCAGGGCTGCAGACCTGTTCTCAAATCAGCTTCGCTCATCTACTGCACATGGCTGGGAGGGACATTCAGTCAGTGAGCCCTGCACACACAAGCTCATCATGGCAATAAAAACTTAATGAAAATACAGGAAGGTTTTACATTCATCATACTTTTGTTTCTTTTCTTATTAAAAGTGTATGAAAAGAATCCCAAGATCGATAAGCCCCAGCTCTCATGACATACAATTTAAATATTTACCCTAAACTTTTCATTAAATAAACTTAGACTTTATTCCACTATCTCATTTTCTGATTACATTTTTAGAAGCCATTTTACACCTTTTGCATCACAACTCTATTAAAACAGTGTGTACATTTCTTAAAGCTACTCTGCCTAATTTGGTTTCAGACACTAGAGAGTCTAGCAGCTGAAACAAAACAAACTAAGCTGCTCCTAACCGCTCTACCCCTCCCATCACGTCAGTTTCCCATAAGCACCAACCTCGGACGCTGAGAAATGAAGCCAATGCGGAAGGTCCTCAAATGGCCACGTGAGGCTGGCTCCAAAAGGAAGTCAATCCCCATAAACTCCCATGTTAAAATGCCCAAATTTACAGCAGAAGTAAACATGTTTACCGGCTGGTACAAAAAATGGTTTTGGTTTCTATAGCTGATTTCCCCTTCTATGACAGCTGTACGGGGGTGAATTTTTATATAACTCCGCCTTTTTAAATTATATTGAGGATAAAAGATGTGCATAACTAAGGTCGTGGCCACTGAGTGAAAGGCGGCACACAAAAGATAAAATTACTCCCAAATTACAATCAACGAAAAGGTGAAATCCTGATTATGCTAGGTGGCTAATGCTACCAAAACAAACAGGTTAGCTCTAGATGTTAACACATCCAGATGGAAGAACACATCTAAATCCAGTCTGAGACCTTTGGCTGCTTTTAACCCTCTCCATGTCAAACAGCCAAACCAGTGTTAACCCTGGTTGCTGGTCTTTCTTTGTCCCACTCTCTCTGTGCAAAAGTCACCTCTTCACTCTGGCAGCCACTGGTTCAGACTTTTAGCTGCCCAGAGCTCCTCCATGGCTGTTTGACATGACTACTGGTGGCTGGAAAAACCCTTTTTCTAACCTTGGCTAGGTGGCAGGCAGGGCTAATTTACAGACCATGTGGGGGGTGGTGTAGTTGAGAGACAGCACGTCCTGTAAGTGTAACTGGGTTTGTAAGACGGTGTGGAACGTCTTAGTTAAAGCACCTTTAAGCTTTGAAATTAAGTGTATCACCAGCTGCTACAGCAAAAACGTTTTGACTGCAGTGATAATTGAATATGGATGGACTGATGGATAATAGATAGACAGAGCTGCAAAGACAGTTGGCCGTTGTCACCTAGAGGTGTTTGGGTGAATACTAATAGGAGAGTAAGAAAGAGTCCCATTCATTATGGAGCACAATGGAGAAGCTACACAAGCAAAAACAGAAGAATCTCGTTATTTCATCTTTTTCCACGTTGGACTGTGTTTGTGTGACCCACGCCCGCTGTCCGTGCGTGGAGACTGTGGCTCTCACAATGCAGCTCTTGTGCCCGGGGGTCATGGTGGCAGAGGAAACTAGAGCAACACAGCTTTCTCTCCCACTGCCGCCAGAGCCATGTGGGCAACAACAAAGATGTCTGAATGCACATTATAGTCCTGTTTGGCAGCAGTCTTCTGGGACAGGTTAGAATACACAGGCAGACTTGTTGTCCACAGGGTTCAGCGATGCTCGTCACTGGATGCATTCTGCCACATTATGCTGTTTGACCACAGCAGCCAGCATGCTGTTTATTGGTGAAAAATATTCCTGCACCCAAATAAATAAGAAATTTTAAAATGAGTGTCTGATGCAAAGAGCTGCAACAGTGGAAGTGAATGATCCAGCTTTGACCTTAGCAAACAAGCTAGTTTTTATTAAATTTGAACAAAAACACTTTGGTTTTAAGACATAGAGTGACAGAACATTTTTGATGTGTTCTGACACAAAAACCTTAAATATTATATGCTTTTAGGTCTCAGGCTGGGTTTTAGATTTAAAGTACCAGTTGAATTCACAACGAGAGAAACATCACTGACTTGAGGCTATGCTTCACATGACATATTGAAAATATGTCCTCAACTGATTTTCTAATGAACATTCAAAAACATCCAAATCAAGCCTTACAAATTAGATTGTTCACAACTGAGCTACACAAAGTAGCACACAACCTTGAATTGATCATGTTGGGGACGCGACAGTGGTGCAGTGAATAGAGCAGTCGCCTTCCAACCGGAAGGTTAAAGGTTCGAATTTCGGTGCCTGCAGTCCACATGTCAAAGTGTCCTTAGGCAAGACACTGAACCCCCCCGTTGCCCGTGATGTGGCACATATGCACGCAGCAGCCTGGGGCCCTCGGCTCCAAGCATAATTTTATTGTATGTGTTACAATAAATAAATAGGTTATGCTTTTAAATAAAAGTCATTATTCCATTCCTGTCTTTCAGGCACAACTGAAAATGTGTGAAACTAAAGTTTCTTTTCACCTTCCTTTCAATTAAAAAACAAGAAAGGGAGAAAGTAAAATAGAAAGAGCTTTGTGTGGTCATTAACATCTGGAGCAGGGAGGACAACAGTCCAGTTTACACACTGTGTTGCTCACAGACTGGACCATATGACCAGACCGCGGGGAGGGGGGGGGGGCAGAGTGACAGAGATGAACTGAGTGTGACAGCTGCACCACATTCAGAGTTTGCAGAGAGGAATAAACAGGGATAAAGATTAGCCTCTACTTCCCACACCCACAAATCACACCTGGAAATCTTCTGATTGGACAAAATACCATTGCCATGTGGGACAACGCAGGAGGATGACTGGGCTGCTGCAGCTTCTCCGCTTCACAGGTTTGAACTTTTTTCCCTTTACCTTTGCTTACTGTATGTTCAGACTAAGGGTGGCTTGTCTCTACTGATCGAACGACAGGTGGTTGTGAGAACACCTGCTTTGTGAATCAAACAGTGAAACATAGTAAGAACTATGCTCTGTTTTCCTGTGAATGGCAGGAGCTGGAAGAGTGACTCTCTTCATGATGAACTGTGCTGTGCTTCTTCTCCTAACATCCAGCTGCCTCACCTGGGCTGCAGTTGTATACACCCCCAACAGAGCAGGTAGAGCCCTGACAGTGCTGTGTTGTTTTTAAGGCTTGTCTGTAGGTAATCAGTCAATTAATGATGCCAGATTAGGTTTAGGATGTAAACTGTCATGAACTAAGGTTCTCTGAGGAGATACCGCCTGATTCACATGACCTGGACTAGCATCATATAGAAAGTTTCCCGTTTAGGGGTCGCCACAGCGAATCGTCACACTGACGACTCGCATGTTGACATTTGGCATGTGTTTTACGCCGGATGCCCTTCCTGACACAACCTGGATTCGAACCCGGGGAGCCGTGGCGAGAGCGCTGCACCTTAACCATCATATCTGAGTTAAAAAAACTGATCATTTCAGACTTGACTCTGATGTAGCACCATCAAAGTGTTCAGGCCACTTGTCAGACGTAAGTCAATGTTTTGTTCAAAATTACATGTGCATCGACCACTGAGGGTAGCAAGCACCTGGAGCAGTCTGATCATTTCAGACTGATGTAGCACCAGCAAAGTGTTCAGGCCACTTGTCAGATGTAAGTCAATGTTTTGTTCAAAATTACATGTGCATCGACCACTGGGGGTAGCAAGCACCTGGAGCAGCTACTCAGACATACAACATAAGAAAAGCCAAACAAACCTTGGACTGAGAAGATAAACTGTCTAAAGCTACAGTATGTCACTTTTTTGAAATATTTTTTTCTGTAGAAATCTGCTGTAAAACTCTTAATGTGGAGAGGTGCTGTTGAAGCCTCCTGTGACCCAAACTCATTGAACAGCACTGGCAGCAGTGCAGAGATATGAGCTTCTAAAAGGACTGATGTCTCTAACCAGAGGTTGTCACTTATTTCAACTTGATCAGTGAGTTTTGTTGCATTCTTATTTATTGTAATTTCACAACAAATATCTGAAGAGCTGAGCAGAGTGTGGAGGAGCGTAGCAGACCGTAGTAGAGCAGCATAAAGCAGGGAAAGGGACTGATGTGGAGTTTCATGCTGGTGCTACCTAAAGTTACATACTGTAGCTTTAATAAACTAATAGATGTTTTCAGACAAAACACTTCTAGTCACTCAGTTCTAGGAGCTACCCCAAGAACTATATACCTTAAAAAGGCTTTCTTTCTATCTGCATTCACACCATCAGTAGTTAACAGTAGCAAACCAGTCCTGCAGCTCGTCATGTCGCTGATGGCTATTAATGGTTTTTGCTGGTGCACAGTGTTTGGCCAGTCAACATACTGTACACTTACGTTATGGCTCCTATTATGCTGGTACTTACAGTACCCTGAGCTAGGAGTTAAAACAAAAAAGTGCCTGAAAATGGTGCTTTAAGAACTATGATCATCCCCAGTTCCTGCAGCATAGACACACAAAAAGAGGGATACTTCCTCCAATGGTTTTATGAACTATGAAAAGGTCAAAAACACCTGTCGTGCGACAGTAATAGTCAACTCCTGGATAACGGCTGACTCTACCAGTTACAGTAATAACTGTAAAACTATTCAAAAAATAAAAAGAGACATGCCATACAGCAGCGTCAAAGGCCAAAGCATCGAGGGGGATTTTCATTAAGGTGTTGTGGCTCATTTTTGGTGCTAAACTGTGAAACTGAGTGTGTTCATATTTACTAAGGAGTCACAGTGTAGTATGGCGCCAGAAACATATACAGTAAGAAAGCAGCACAGCAGGATGTTGCTTGTTTGGTCTTAAGCACTATGTATTTTAAGGCATTCCCATTCGGAGACACAAAATTCAGGGAGGAGAGAATGGAGGTTTATACAGATATTCTCTGCGCCCTATTTACCACTGAGGGAACTGCAGCTGAAGTTTAGTATCAAGAGAAAGCAGGTGTAAAATTTCCCTGCTTTTTAAATATTTTTATTTTGTATATGCATAAATGTGGCACTGAAACCCCGGTTGCTGTTCTGTCCACAGCATCTAAGTTAAAGTATCTCCTTGACCCGCCTGTGTACGCTGAGGTTGTTGGCCGAAGAGGAGATAACGTCACCTTGCCTTGTATCCTCAGAGTCAAACCTAGTCATTACAAAGTGAAATGGACAAAGCTGGAGCCGGAACGGGTGGGGCTGGAAAACATTATCATGATATCAAATGCACATGCCTTCAAGCCATACGGCCATCTGGGACCACGGGCTTCTCTCCGAAAGGCTCATGCCATGGATGCCTCCCTGCAGCTCAGCCATCTTAAGCTGGAAGATGATGGCACGTATCGCTGTGAGCTTATCAACGGCATCGAGGATGAGAGCGTTGTCATTACTTTGAGCATTGAAGGTATTTGAATGAATGAGCTTGGTGGCTGCCCAAAAGATTAAACTGAAGAAAAGCCTCTTTACCTGAAATGTTTAATAATATCTGAGGAGGCTGTTCAGTTCATACAGTATCTAAAGTATCATCTGCCAACTTAATAAAGTGAAATGTGTGTTTGAAATGTTCCCTCAGCTACATAGGGTCATGTTCGTGATCAGGGCTGAGGGTTTACAGTTGGATATCATGCCTCTGATGAAAGACAGGAAAGACAGGAAACAGCAAGTGTGAAAACAAACACTGACAACATGGCTTCTCTTCCTAGGTGTGGTGTTCCCATATCAGAGCAAAAACGGCCGCTACAGATTCACGTTCCATGAAGCCAGAGAGGCCTGTGCTGAGCAAGACGGCATGCTAGCCACATACACCCAGCTCTACAGAGGTGCCACATACTGTACAGTGTCAACCAATAATATGTTGTCTGCAGCTTTGTCAGCTCTTTTAAATGAGTGTGTTCCCTCCTGCAGCGTGGACAGAGGGTCTGGACTGGTGCAATGCAGGCTGGCTCCAGGATGGAACCGTCCATTACCCCATCATTCATCCTCGCCCCGTCTGCGGAGCAGAGCTGGTCTCTGGCATCCGTAGTTATGGACCAAAGGATAAGCATCGTGATCGGTTTGACGCTTTCTGCTTCACCTCTCAGACACCTGGTAAGCTTTGGCTCATGTTATTTCAGACATGATTCTCATCAGTTTTGGACTAGTTTTCTGACCAGAAACCTGGAAGGAAATCACACTGTTGCACATAGAAAAGAGGCAGCGATTTCTATGTTCAAGTCGCACACTTTCCCAACCACCCCTGATTTTTGCAGCGTGATAACAATATTACATTCCACCTTTGTTCCTTCAAACATATCTCACACACCCACTAGAGATCTAGTGGCACATAATCAAAACAATGTTTTAGTTTGTTTGTTGAGAGGACTGATTACCTGCAAGAGCCACTTCTCGCTGAAGCAGGAACAGCACAGGTGTATTAATAGTGGTGCACCAGTGAGCCATGCACAGTACGAATTGCCTGGAATGAAAGCAGCCATCATTAATGTGTTTAGCCACCAGCATGTTGACATTTTGCAAAGTCCACATATAAACTGTCAAAGGATAAACCTGGTGATGTTCACTGCATCTTTTATAGTCAACAAATTCCATAAAAACACCTAAATCAACAATGAATGTCTCCTACTAGCAAATATTCAGATGTTTCTCCCTCCTCCGTGCCACAGAGCTCCACTGTTGTCCAAAACAATTAAACACATGACAAAGTCATTTACTAGGTTGTTTCTCCTAGGCATACTTCAGTTTCTTCTTAATTCCTTTAAAACTATTTCTCACCTTTCTGAAAGGCAGCTCCTGCTAAATGTATCCTCATCTCCGATTCTTTAATGTGACAGAACACAGCTCTCAAGATCTGAAAACACAGATTTATAAACAAAATCAAATTTTATCTTTGAGATTCACATAGCTTCTTGCTTACAACAAAAACGTGTCACAGTAAGATCTGGGCTAAATGTTTGCTTTCTTACTGACTGACAACAACTGTGAAAGACATCACAAATGTTTGTTTACTGCACCTGAGTCTGACTAAAACAGGGTCTATGAGAAGCAGTGCTTCAGTCCAGAGCAGGTGATACAAAGACACAAACACACTGATCACCCAGGTGGTTCTGATCTGCATGATCAGAGGTCACCTGGCTCTCAGACTGGACCAATCAGGCAAAAACAGAAAACTACATTAAAAACATCAAACAAAACAACAAAGGAGAATCATCTAATCAGAACCGATGGCAGCCATCTGCAGCACCAACCCACACCAATGGCTCTAACCATCGGGGGCAACTTGGGGGTTCAGTGTCTTGCCCAAGGACACTTTGACATGTGGAATGCAGGCACCGTGATTCAAACCACCAACCCTCTGGTTGGGAGACAACCAGTCTACCCACTGAACCACAGTTGCCCTCACGTTTCCATACTTTACAGTACACAACCCTATTTGCACTAGTTTAAAAAAAAATTTCTGGTTCTCAAGTTTGTTTTTTTACAGATAATTTCAATTATTTATGGTCATTCTAGAGAAAGCTGTGAATCTTAGGTTCTAATTAAAGTCTCATTTGTTTCACTTCTGCTCCAGGGGCAGTTTCAATTGGTCTTACCTGTTGCAACATACTTCTCCTCAGGGGAGGGAGAGAAAACATTTCAAATTTCAATACCTTCACAATAAGGTGATTTATTTCTCAGGAGACAAAGGAAAGACAGCTGCAACTCTCACAGCATCAAATGTGGATGAATTCGCCACTGAAAATAGTCCCTAACAAAAGAATGATTTTATCCTGTTTTAAAAATGTTTGCTTAAAACTACACTGTATCTGTTTTAGAAGATGACTGGCTTATTTTTTTTTTTAAAGAAAAAAGCCTCACCCAGCCTCCCTGATAGCGTGGCTAAAGAAGTGCGCTCTGTTGCACCTGTGACCCCGCCCACAGTGACGTCACAGGGTCGCAGACTACACCTGCAGGCCTACATTACTTGCCGTTGGCAAAAACAAGTTGTCAGTGATGATAGGTTGCTCTGTAAAGATTCTGTTCAAGATCAGTTATCTTGTTTGATCCATCAGAGCACAGTTTGTTGGGATTCCTCAGGTCTTAGGAAGCTCAGACATCATCTGTGTGCACCTCATTCCCACATCAGACTTATTTCAAAGCAAGGAAACACACTTAAACAATGTGGTTTTTCTGGTTAAAGCTAATGGAGCGTTATTGTTTAGTGTTCTGACAAGAGAAGGGTGTTGTTCCTTTATTTCACAATCATTTTGTGGTGTAGTGATTGTCAGTGCCAGGCCTGTGTAGCAACAAGCACCAATCTTTAGTTGCTACTGTGTGACAGTGATAATGGGTTGCCATAAAGTCTGTGGGTGAGACGTGATGAAACTTTCAGTGCAGGTACGTGACAAACGAGATGGAAACTTGCAAAGACTCACGCATCCTGGTCAAACACAAGAGAGCAGGGCAGTGGGCTGAAGTTGTCTGGATGTGTTCATGTCAGTCTCTGCTCCCCCCGCAGGCTCTGTCTTCTACATATCGGGCTCTTTCTCCTTCGACCAGGCAGGACACGCATGTGAAGGTCAGAGAGCTGAGCTGGCGTTGGTCGGCCAGCTTTACTCCGCCTGGCATTTCCACAGCTATGACCAGTGTGACGGAGGATGGTTGAAAGATGGCAGTGTGCGCTTCCCCATCAGCAACCCTAGGGAGCGCTGCGGAGGCATCCCCGAGGCAGGGGTGCGCTCGTTTGGATTCCCCAACAAGATGGTGCATCTTTACGGAGCCTATTGTTACAGGTAGCTCCAAGTAAATGTCTCAAAGCTGCCGGGCTGCGAATAAACCAGAATACATGAATTAACTGTTATTTAGAGATCGAAGTTACAGCCTCATATCTAAAGCAACAGACAATTACTGGCAACATACAATATGAAGCTACATTTAATTTTACTATGTTCAAAACTAAATTAGTCCTAATTATTTTGGGATGGGTGGTGTTATTTATTGTCCAGTGTGCAGTAATTTCTAAAGCAAAAGTCCTCATTTCTATGATTTGGTGGATGCAGAATATTTTAAAGGCAGGAACTAATTTATCAGGCAGACAGAAGCTTTTACAGTGGCTCTAAACTCTGTTAGACTCTTTTACCAAATAAAAACTGAGAGCAAATGTTTGGGGTGGATTACCATGGATTTCTGACCTATTTCAAAGCTTTAGTGTGTATGTGTCTTTCTTCCATTTGACACAAAGGCAGCACAAGTCTGTGTTTGCAGTGTGTCCACCAGTTTTGACTGTGGCTGGCAAACAACCAGTGATTCTCTAAAAAACTAATAATCCTTTGTAAATAACTGTTGGCCAGTAAAACAGGCAGTCATCTTTGGATAATCTCCTGTGATTAATGGAATAATTTAGTAGACTGGAAGTTTGTGATACGAAAACATGTTGCACACACACAATCATCTTGCACTAAAACGTGACAGTTTTGCAAACCTGTGTCCATTACCATGATACTGAACTGCTTCCTCTGAGCTCAATCAAAGCAACTAAACCTGGTTTGGCTGTAAATGAACATGTCATTTAATTTATTAAATAAAGATACATGCATATGTCAGTGTACTGCTTATTCAGCAGATGGTTTGTGCATTGTTTAAAGTTTGTTTATGAAAAAAGAAACGGCTCACATCCTTCAGTCTGAAGCCGTGAAATGAGTTGTGTGTTATATTAACTGTGTGTTACAAAGCTTCCAGATGTTGTTCAGGAAGGCAGTGTGGCATCATGTGATGTCCACAGGAGGTGAAAGACAGAAGAGAGGTCAAGAGGTCAAGATGTACAAATGTGATCCACTTGCTTTCTGAGAGTTCATGTGCACCCACTTCAAATAATAAGGACTATGAATATGGGTTGATAGAACTCTACTCCACCTACTCCATAGGAGGGTCAGTACTACGTGCTGGCCTGTCACTGTAATGGTTCTAAAGGTGGAGTCGGGCATAAAACCACTTGGTTGGTTTTAGGGAAGGATCGTGGTTTGAGCCAAGACTTTATGAAGTCTCTTAAATGACCTTCCGGGTTTTTCCAAACATCACCAGCAAACAATGGTCTAGAAAAACTAGTGCATAACTGTGTGACTGAATGGGTCCGCACACACAAGAGACACAAACCGGGGCCACTGTGGCAGCAACACTTTTGTTGTATCACTCTACTGTATTAGTCATTGCCAACAACTTTGATTTTGAAGGTTTTACACTAATGAGTTCTTTAGTTAGATCAAGAATTAATGATTAATAACAAACATTTGGCATAAATATCAAGGAAACAACCTGATAAGTTACTGATAAAACACCTGATTCTTCATTAGTAGGTATATAATCATGGAATAAATAACAAATAGACTCTTCAACATACTAGTTTAATTAGTTGATTTTTATACAGTTCAGTCGATGAACAGCATGTAACAACTGTAATAACTCAAACTACATTACAAAATTACATTTTATTTCTCTTTTTTCACTGGATCCATTTATCCTATATTATTTCTACTGGTGCATTGATTAGAATAACAACATTACCTGCATTGTTACCACCGTGCAGTGTGTCACAGTAGTTCTTTAAAAACTACATCTATTGTTGCATTATTTGCATCAACAAAATACATTTCTCCTCACTGATCCCCAGAGAACAGCTGTCACTTCGGAGCCAGTATACTCTACATATATTTCAAATTGAACTCTCTGATTATGACGCTGTGTGCTAATGCAAATCTGGCCAAATACAGATACGCTACAGCAAACCAGAGTGCAAACAGACCTGAATAAGAAGCACCAAAGAACAAGCAGAGTCAGTGATCAACACTCTTAGAAAGGATGTGTGCACACACATAGTCGGGTCATTTCAGGTGTGCTCACTGGTGGGAACTCGCGTGACAAATTAAAGTGTCTCAAACAGGAGTGAGAGCAAAGTTTAACAAGCTGCCTCCCACTGACAGAATCCTGAAACAGAATAGTGGACAACGTGTACAGTAATAACATTAACATTTGGCTGATTTTTTACTGTAAACATCTTAAATAACAAGATCGTTTGCAGGGTTGTGCAGAGTGAAGACTTTGCCAACAGAGAGTACGTTGTGTGCTGGCAAATTTCCACCAAGACATGCTATAAATCACACTGAGCTGCTAAAGAAGATTTAGTGCAGATGGAGGTGCAGTGGCTTCTGAGTGAAGCTTTTGAAACTCAGAAAAGGGTGATTTTTTTTTTCCTAATTGTTTTTTAACCATGTGACTTTGTTGCTCAATTGCAGTTTTAAGGATTTGTTTATTTGTTTGTTTGCACCCACACTGATGGCATGTGGGCGTATATGAGACATTTCTTTTACCAAGAGAAACCCTTTCAATCCAGAAATGAAGACGGCTTTCAGATCACTGTTATATTTTGATACACATCCACCTTTATAGTTTTGTGCAGGATCCTCTCTTACCTCCTGATGTGGCAGCTTCATAACCAAGTGATTTTCTGTCTCATTTGTGCAAGGAATAACAAGACGATCCCGCAACTTTTCCGTGTTTTTTCAACTAATGCATCTAAGTTGTGCAGAGCTTTTTGTACATTCTGACAAACAGTACTGTATTACAGCACTTTTCCAGATTTTTCATGACTGTAGGAACTGTGAGACGTCTTTAAGATGAAAGATTAGTTTTATACAGTTGAACTTGATGCAGAAACTGGAAGTCTTTGAGACACAAGAAAACAGGGAGAGGAATGGTGCTTTAGAAACAAGACAGGATGGCTTTACACATTCCACTTAATGTCCCAGAACAGTGGAGCTGCTTTCTCTGTGGCTGCGCCCGCAGCCTCTGTGGCATCCTCAGGCTGGGGAGGAAGCACCGTAACTGACTCTTCTCCCACCGAATGAGCTGCAGGGGAGACAGAAACAGCAAAGTGCACGTTTACAACCTTTAAAATCTGACATGGATTTGCCTGCAAACTCGGACTACCAGGGTGTATTTAGAGGCTTTCTACATTTATGTGAAGTTTACATAAACCTTTCCTGATGTTTTGTTATTTAATCAAAATTAAGACTAAGTGTTTTATGTACCCAATTTGATCAAACCTTTAAACTACATAACCCTTATGTTGTTACATACCTTACAATTTAAAAACCATGGGTGGATTTTCAGTTGCATGTGCAGTGTTACAATTCACAGTATAGTCAAGTAATTCAGTTTGTTTTGGAGAAACATTATTACAAAGTGTTCTCAGTGATGATACTGCTCATTTTACAGAGTTTTATGAGACTTTGTTCCAGATTTAACCATTTAGCTTTTTCCTTCTGCAGCATAGTCCTCCCAGATTCTATCTACTCTACACATTTTATTTTACATTGGCTCTGAACTGGGAAAATAAATTTGAAAATCTAGGACAAATGTGTCACTTACATCCCAACAGCCACCAGTGACACATGGTGGCTGTTGGGATGTAAATCACAAATGAACCGTTCACCTTTGAAGCTGTTTATTTTGCTCTACAAAATGAGAATTGTCATAAGGCTCTGGTATGAGCCCTTAAATCATTCAAAGCACATTCACAGTCAATTTTCTTTGCGTAAGAGCACATGGAAAACCGTGTGGATTCAGGAACAGCACTACAGCTGCATTAGCACTAGTAGACTGGAACCAGCTGTCAGGTGACTGGTAACATGCAGCCATGCTCATTCAGGTGCACTACACTCTGCTGATACCTTCATGGCCACGCTGCTTTATGTGTTTATTAACTAGTTCTCCCAGTAGAACCCCTCGGACGCTCCCTCACACAGCACAGCCTTTTCCTCCAGTGCACTTACCTGGCAGGCAGGTAATCAGAGGTTCATCCCATCGGCCGCCGACCCGGCACCTGATCACAGGATTCAGTTTCTGCACAAAACCCTCCTCACAGTAGTACCGCACCTCGGTGTTGGTCTCATAATGCAACCGCTTCTTCCCAAACACCTTAGCATGAGGGACCTCAGGGGGCTGACCACAGGAGGCTGTTGGATGGTTGAGAAATGCAGAGACAACTTGTTTGGTTCTTAGACTGATGACAAATAAATGGAGGTCTTAGGAAAGAAGCTGCTGAGGTGACATAAACTCACAGATGCCCTTCTTGCAGGTGTAGGATAGATGGTAGTTGCAGGGAACGTCGCTCCAGTGACCATTCTGATGCCACACCATCACTACACAATCCTCTCCAGACAGGAAGTAGCTGTCAGGCTGGCCTCTGTACCAGTTCTCATACAGCTGACAGTAAGAGAGGAGAGAAGATTGACACTGGCAGCTATTTCAGCTTTGTAGATGATTTAATGATCAAACTTAAGACAGTAAAACCAGAAAACTACAACAATCACACACGCGAACAGTTCAAAAACGGTTTCTTTCAACTGATGATGTCAAACTGAACTGGATGACTTGTTTCATGTTTGAAAGTCAAAAGAGAAGATAAGCACTCACCAGAGGGTTCCCATCCGACCAGCGAAAGTCTCCCTCGATGGTCCTGTCATTTAGTCCAATCCACTGATATTCTTTGTATTTGTCTAAAAATGAAAAGGTACGAAGAGGTTGTTGTATATCAGCTATGTACAATATAGTGTATATGGTATTTGAAGCTACAGTATACATGAGGTTACAGATAACCTCAGGACTGATGACACCAGGCTCAAAGTGAAACCATAAGATAGTAAAGATATAGGTGCACTGGAATGACTTGATAAAGGTTGGTTATATAACCTGCCTTCTGACTTTCTCACAGTTAGCTGACTTTGTAAAGACACCTCGTTACATAACAGTATGAGTATTTGTCTATGCCATCCATGACAGCTACAGGAGGAATGTCAGATAATAATCTGGTTGCCAGCACCAACTTCTAAACCATGACATTCTCAAGGAAACATGGATTCAGTAATCTGGAAGATGTGGAAGGTCGCTGTTGTGTCTTGTCTGGACAGTTTGAGAGGACTCGATGCTTGTCCGCATCTGAAGTGGAGGAATGTAGGTTGCAAGATTTTTAGCTTGATATCTACTGCGAGAAATAGGCCCATTCCTGTTGAGGTGCGATTTAGAGCAGCAAGACACAAAACCCAGGTGTTCCAGTGTCGGTGCATTCAAGCATGCCCTGACACGGAAGAGATGCCGGGTGAACAGCAGCCTTTCACTGCATGCCGTCATGTCACGTGGGTCTGAGTTTCTGACCATGAAGCCCAAATTTCTCAGTGTCAGAGGAACTTTGACCAAACAATTAAGATGAACAGTTTGCCCTAATGGATTAAATGTGTTGAGGAAATACTCTGTAGATGAAACTGGAAAACAACAGGACTAGTGTGCTCTTTGTAAAGGGGTCATCGATATTCAAAATGATTTTAAAACATGCAAAAACTCTGCACAAACCAGCACAAATCCTAGTGTAAATAGTCGTTTTCTTCACCATCATTAGAAATTCAAAGTGCTGAACACATTCACTTGCTAACCAGCAAAGATGTTCCCCAACCAATTACGGCTAACTTATCCAAGATCACTAAAATATTCAAGCAAATGCTGTTTTTGAGAGGTTTTCAGTTTTACCATTGATGTAGTGCTGCTCCTCAGGGGTCATGACAGAAATGAGATGCCCACCACACATGCGACAGTGCTGCTCAGCTGCCTCCCAGTTCTGCCGCTTAGGAAAGTGACGATAACAGAAGCCCTGAAACTTCTCCCAGCCGGGCTGGCACAGCTCCAGGTCTGAGACACAGTGGACGAGCCAGGGGAAAGAAAGATTAGGAAATTATAAAGTAGGAATTAGTAGGAAGGTCAGAGTGTTTGGAAGAGTGTGTGTCTCTGTGGTTATCAGACAGTGGACAGTGAACCTGTCTGGCACATGTCTCCTCCATAACCAGGCAGGCAAAGGCAGCGTGTTGATTCACCGTCCACACACGTGCCTCCATTCAGACAAGGGTTCTGCAGGCAGGGGTCTGCAGACATGTGGACATGGTGGTGTATTTTAACAGAGCTCAGATAAATTTAGACCAGTTTCAAATATATCTATATTCATAATGTAACATATCAGATATTAAAATAACTTCTTATCATCACAGTCTTCAAAGTAACTATCTGAAACATCAGTAACCTAAATCTGTCTTTTATATCTCCTTTGTACCAGATTTAGCTACTAGTCATTTTCTATTTGAGTGGAAATTATCTTCCATAGCTCAAGTTTGAGTTCATGCCAAACATTTTGTCAAACCTGATGGTGAATTTTTTCTTCATTATTAAGTCCCAACCTTTCACAAAATAAAGAGCTCCTCGAAAGGTCAAAACACCTCACTGTGATATATCACCACATCTAATTTTCAAATTAAGTGAGACGCCAGCAGGGGGCACTGTTACACCAGTTTCAATACCTCAGAGCATTATACAGTATACAATGTGAGCAGCACAGTGAAGTGTTGGAAATACGTAAACAGTGCTGTAAATAGTTGGGAAAACTCTTTTTACTTATGCAGCAACATAATAAATCCTGATGTTTAACTGTAAATGGAGGAAAAACACAGTGTATCACAATGGAGTGGACACGTATGTTTGTACAAAAAAGAAATTCTGAATCATGTTTTCTCCTAGCAACACCCATATCAGCTTTTCATACTTCAATAAGCATGGAAATGTCAGTTTTAGGCTTTAGGTGAACAAACTTTGCAACTTAAAAGTTAAATAACATCCAGTACATCTTTATACTGTATTTTCATTAATACTACTACATGTATAAACATATTAAAGGTTCGGTTATGGCCAGTTTTCTACCTGCTTTGCACTGCACATCTTTAAACTAGCAATATGTAACTTATTCTTCTGTGTCATCTCCATAAATTGAATGTATATGAAAAAAAAGAAAATAATTTGATTCATACCAATTAAAGACTTTTAGAGTTTGAGGAATAGAATTAGTTGTATTTTTTAAATCATCACTGGATATACAGCCCTTGTTGTGCACCAGAGTTTCCAGTTGTGCACCTGCTGTGTGTGACTCTGAGAACCTGAAGTGCTAAATTACTAAAATCTCTCTCCTCATTGGGCACCTTCAGAGACAGACGTCCTCTTTCCGAAACACCGACAAAGCATACTAACACCAGCTGCTGTTCAGCGAACAGCGACACTTTTTACCCGAGATTCCTTCTTGGTGGGCAGCGGGCAGGGAGGCAGCCATGGCAGTGTATTCATCTTCTCCTGTTTTAAAATACTGTGGGGACCTGGTGGGAGTAGTGACGGTCACATCATGAATGTCTGTGGAGGTCTTCTCATCCGGATGCGCTATGCAATTTATAACTGAGGGATCGTCTGTGCCGGTCTCTTCCTCACTGCCCTCTGATCCATGTCCTGTTGAGACAGTTAACTCAGCTAGTAATTTCATATTGTTTATGCTTAAACGGAGTAAATTATAGGAATGTCATCTAATAAAATGACATCTACAATTATTTCAAATGCAGGTATGATTATGATATAAGTTAGTGTTACTAGTGCACAGTTATTGTAATCATTTAACGTAAAGAAAAAATATCAAAAAACTGAAGATAAAAAAAGAGCCCAGTGAGCCATATTCAGAAGTCCAGCTAACCGTTCAAAACCCAAACATATCCAGTTAACTCCTGTAAAAAAAGAAAAGGCTGAAGCCATCAAATATTGGAGATTTTTGCTTGAAGAATAGCAAACAAATAATCAATTAATTTTCTGCCATTTTTACAAATTCAATAATGGAGTAATCACTCTAGAGTGTCGAGTGAAATAAAAGAGGACCAGTGGGTTATGCTGCAGTGATTTTTTCACAGGTATTTTGACACTTCTACAGTGACAGATTTCAGTCCTCCACCAAGAAGAGAGCTACAAACTTCTCAGATTCACCTTTCAGGACAACACGGGTTTTGCTTGAGTATTCCTTTTAACTCACCATCAATCCCGATGCGGGTGATCTCCGTCAAAGGCTCCTGAGAGACAGCCTCAGGTTCCTCAGTGACAGGAGCCTCAGCACTGTGTTCTCCATCAGAGCGAGCCTCCTGTGGTGTGGAAGGAAAAGCCACTTGTTCCCAGCCAGGTGTGTGACTCTGGTGAGGGATCAGTGTGATTTTTATCTCTGCTGGAGGAGGAGTACCAGTCGCAGCCTCACTATCAGTTCCCTCAGATGTGTGGTCCACTGACAGAGTAGTGTTTGTCGACAGAGGCTCTGGTTTCATTGCCAGGTTTCTTCCTGATGACTCCCCTGATTCCTCCTGTGATTCTGATCTGTACTCGGTGCCTTGTTCCCCATCCTCCGGATCACTGTCTGGGATATTTTGGGTTGTGCTCAGAAACCCTGCTGGGTTTTCTCCTAATCCCTCGTGTTCAAGTTTGTCCTGGAAGTTTTCCAAAGACTCTGTTTCAGATGAAGCATTGCTTTCAGGTATTAAGGTAATAGTCTCTGGGGAGCTAACTTCAACCACCACAGAGGGAGGAGCTGCTGATTTCAACAAGGTGACAGGGTAACTGCGTAGAACAGGAGCATCTACACTGGAGGCCGAGTCATCTGTGGCTATGATGGCCTCTGCTGTTGTTGTTGCCACATCATATGGTGCTGCCTCTTCTGAAGTGCTGTTAGATTCCTCGTCACTGTGATCGAACGGGATGGAAGACTCCGTTGCTGCTCCTGTGGGATGAAGAAAACACAAGAACTTGAAGAAGACATTTACTTTGGATTTCATTTTTATTCTACATTAATTTCATTGCCGCTCAGTCAGTCAGTCTGTTGGACCAACACTTCAGTTCAATCTTGAATGGACTTCCATGAAATTTGGGACTGACCATTAAAGGAGGAATGACTTGGGTGATCCTGAGTTCAAATCTTTAGTTTGACATTAACCAGCTTTATTTAGAGTGAGTTTAGAGATACTTAAAGCCAGTCTAAAGGACAATGCTAACATGTGAAAAGTGTATGCTAAACACTGTGTTTAACCTACACACTAACTGTTAGCATGGTACCACATAATGATGTTCCATATTAAGAATGTACAGGCTAAATATTAGTATATTAACATTGTTATTGCACATTATCGATTATTTATTCATGTAATGTTTTTGTCTGATGTTCTTTTATTTTTGCTACTATTGTACAAATCATTTCCCCTTGGGGATAATAAAGTTGATTGAATTGTGAACATTCTAATATTGGCTTATAATGCTAAATACAAACATTCCAGGTTAGCATGATATCATGTAAACAATGGTTAGCATGCTAATTGTAACAAAGTTCCTAAGGTTGGTCATGTGAGGGTTATAAACACGGTGCATAGCCAATGTATTATATATCCATAAAATAAAATTTATTTTTACCCTAAATGAATTTGGTTGATGTGAAGCATTTAGTAAGTGTTTACATTTTCAGGTGAGTCTAAGAAGATCCTGTAAATACAGTAACTTTGATATGACATGAACTGAATCTACAAGCTGGAAACTTGGCATTTACAGTATGCCCACAGGACATGCAGAAAAGTTGAAACTAATGACATTTCACCCAAGCACATCCAAAGTGTTCTCAAGTGCCCATGGTGCTGATGATAAACATGATTTCTGCACACTGCAGCTCCACATCCCAAGCCAGTAACATGTTTTGCCCCACCAGTGGGAAATTGACTTTAGTATTCACTGTATACTTACGTGAGTCAGTAGGGACTAGCTCAGAGGTGCTATAGGTGTCTGTACCAACCAGACTTTGAGTTACTACGGTCTGTTTCGCCTCATCTGGATTTGCACTCTCCTCTCCAGACTCCTCTCCTATTGGATGGTTCACAGATGTACTGCAATGAACCCCGGCTTCCTCGGAGATGGGTGGAATAGTCACCAATGATGTTGCCTCGACAGTACCAGTGCTGGCCTCTTCTGGCCGCCCTGACATATCATAAGAGGTGCTCAGGTATACTAGTTCAGTTTTAGAGGCCTGCTCCAAATGGATATCTGGGGTGTGGTCCTCCTGTGAAACAGGGAGATCACCCCCCTGACGCACCGGTGGAGAGCTGCTGAGCTCAGTTGCCTCAGTTCCAGATGTTGCATTAACACTGAGCATATCCAGGGCCTCATTCCCAGAGGTGTGATGTTCTGAGGCCTCTCTGGTCTCTGAGTTTACCCCATCAGTTGTGAGTGGAGTGGATTCAGTTACTACACCATCAGTCCCTGGAGAAGATCTTGGAAGCGTGTGAGAATCTTCAAGATCTGGGTTTTCTTCAGGTGCTGGTTGGTAAGACACTGGGTAGCTGGTCTTCCCCATCTCCTCTTGGGTATCTTCGGTGAAAAAATGTTCTTGCTGCTCAGATGGAAAAGTGACAGGCTCCTGAATCTCTACTGAGATCAGCATGTCCTTGTCAAAACATCGTGTCTGGGGGTGAGCTTTCACTGTTTGGGCAAGGCGCACCTCTTTGGCCCCCTTTGCTGTCATGTCACTCATGTTGTCCTCCTCCTGAGCAGGATTAGTTAAGAAAACAATGTTTTCTGGCTCAGTGGAATGAAAGTCCCGAGGAGATTCGGTATAAGGGCTGTTAATGTCTGGAATGAAAAGCACAAATATAAACTGTTGTTTATAATGTCAATTATATTGGACCGGTTCCTAATATTGCAAAATGTGGCCAAGAATCTAACAAGACATTATAATATTAATATTTAATTAATTATTTGATTGCTAAAAATAAGAAATGGCATCTGTGATCGTCATCTGATCGGGCACCTTCACCAGCAAGGAGATGGAATGACCAGTAGCCTAAAGCAGCTGCTCATGGCAGTGAAGCTATTTTTGCAAATAGACTAGTTTCAAGTTCACAGTCATGGGTTTTCAGTAAAGTAGGGTGAAGATGACAGAGTGACTGCTGGGGGTCAAATCAAAGGACAAACTATCATACAGTGACCGATCTGTCTCCAGAGCAGCGTCAGGTCTCCTCTGTCAGAGGGAGGAAACATCCTCCTTCCAAACCAGATCGTCTCACTGTGTCCAACCCACTGTGTCGTCCTCATGAAGCCATTCAGTGACCTAGAGCTGCAGCCATGAGTCAGCTCACTAGTAGAAAATTAACTGTAAACTATTTAGAAGCAACAGTCACCAACATGTTCTGGTTCCACTTTCTTTAATGTGAGGAGCTGATGCTTTTCTTTGTCAGACATGAGAATCAGCTGAGTCTCTGTGAATCTGCTGGTTGGACACAACAAGACATGAAAACACCACCTTTGGCTCTGGAGAGTCACAGTGGGACTTTTTCCCAGTGTCTGACATTCTGGGAATACACAGATCAATCAGATCATCAGGACAATGATCAGCTGATTGATCAGTGACCCTGCTGTTTGTATCTCCACTCAGTTATTCAGGAGTCTTCTTTCATTTGTCACCTGTCAATATATTTCCTTTCTTCTCTATCATGTTAACCAGCTCATTACTACTGAAATTTAGTGAGCGATATATGCAATGTTTCTGAATTATTGAACTTTGTACTATTTGCTGATGATACTACTATATGGGCCTCTGGGCAACTTTTGGGTCTGATTACTGTGGAATTGGACAAGGTGAAGAAATGGTGTGACAGGAATAAGTTATCACTAAATCTGGACAAAACAAAATTCATGCTGTTTGGATATGGAAGATTAAATCGTCAGATTCAAGTAAGGGTGGGGGATTATTGTGGATCGGAAGTCACTCCATACTCTTTACTGTTCTATGTTTGTACCTTATTTGGACTGTTGTGTTGAGTGTTGGGGAAATACATACAAAAGCGCATTATGCTCATTATTTAAACTACAGAAAAGGGCCATTAGAATTGTTCATGGACTTGGTTATAGGGATCATACGAATTCATCATTTGCACATTCAGGATTTTTAAAATTTTTTGATTTAGTAAAATATAAATCTGCTGTATTTATGTATAAAGTCAGATATAATTTGGTGCCAAGTGGTATTCGGGGTCTGTTTGGTGATCGAGAGGGTGGTTATGGATTGAGGGGCCACTTAAATTTAAAAACTCAGGCCATACGTACAACTAGGAAAAGTTTTTGTATATCTGTGAGTGGTGTAAAATTATGGAATAGATTGGGTGATGATTTAAAACAATGTACAAGTGTAAAACAATTTAAGAATAAATATAAAAAGGCCTGCATAGCTGGGTATTGGATACAGGAAGTGTAATGATCTTATTAAGATATTATCGGTGTATTTATGGGTGGGATATGAATAATTTATTGTTTATCATTTGTTTGTTAATTATGTAATTGTGATTTGTGATTAGAAGGAATGTAGTAATTTGGTGGTTGCGGGAATTTAACCAGTGTAGTTGTTTAGTTAAATATTTGGGTTGTGTCAACCATAGTTTGGATCACTAGGGGTAGAACTAGATAAGTATTACTTCTTTCTACTCCCTTGCAAGCATGTAATGACTAAGCATTATCAAGAGAAATTTCTATTTTTTTTTGTTTGTATATGGTAATTGGTTTGGTTGTTTTGTGTTACATGTTGATTTCCTTTTTTTTTTCTTTTTCTCTCTTTTATTACATGCTTGGAATAAATAAATAAATAAATAAATAAAATAAAATAAATAATCCTAATATCCAGGTTGGAAGCCACTGGTTCAGAGAACATAACCGAACATAAAGATATAAGACTGTTCTCTTACTTCTGAAGCAGTAGACATCATGTCGAGTGTGAGCTTCGGGGAAGCCCGTCTGGTTGCTGTACTGATAGACAGTCCTGACACCGGGCTCCCCACCACCACAGCGCTCTCTCGGGGTGATGATGGGGTAGCGCACGCTCCCGTCTGCCAACCATCCTGGACTGCAATGGTGCAGTCCATCATTCCAGGCTGCGTATAGCTGAGCTGTGGTGGCCAGCACTGCCCCCTGACTTGCACAGTAGGCCTTTGCCTCCTGGTAGGTCACATCCTGGGGGGTGGGGCTATGAAACACTTCGCCTTTAGACAGGAAGACATGTAGCATTGTTTTAATTATGTTTGTGTCCTGAGCTTGAGCTTAGGTGAAGTTATTTTTTTAACCTGTGTCCTTATTTTGGTAGTTTTGGCCTTTATTCCTCTTTTCCCCTCTGTTTTACTGACTAGCTTCACTTCTGTGATTGGGGCATGTGGAGAGTCCAGTAGTGTAGCAGCATGATTGGTAGTATGATCAGACAGCTCGCAAACAAATGTTCACTTTAGCCAAATCATCTACAGGACTCATTGAAAGTGAAAATAAAGTTACATTTCAACACTTTGCAAGACTACTTCCTTCCTATCACTGCTTCCTTAATTGTAACTGCACCAGTTTTTCCTTTGCCATGGCTTTTGTTTTCCAAAGATGGCTTACATACCCTATGGCCAAAAGTGTGAAGACACTTGAAAACCATGCCAACATATTCACCACATCATCCCAAAATCGTGGGCGTTAATGTGTTTCTATAACAGACTTCACTCATCAGGCTTCAGTTTTTCCACGAGATGTTGAACCTGCTCCTATTCCGACACAAGAGCATGAATGAGGTCCAACAGTAATGTTAGATGATAAGGTCTGGGTCACAGTTAGCATTCTAGTTCAATCCAGAGGTGTTGGATGGAGCTGAGGTCAAGGCTCTGCAGAGACCAATCAAGTTCTTCACACCAAACTGGTGGATGTGGACCTGGACTTGTGCACAGGGTCCTGTCTAGTTCAAACTGGAAAAGATTGGTACAGTCAAGTTCTTCACACCAAACTGGTGAACGTGGACCTGGACCTGGCTTTGTGCACAGGGTCCTGCCTAGTTCAAACTGGAAAAGATTGGTACAATGTTGAAGAACAATATTGTCTAAAAAAATAAACACCACATGATGTAGCATTTCATTTGATTTGATTTATTCTTTCAAGCATGTAAAGACAGTTGATATGTCAACACATAATTTTACACATATCCAACAAATGCTAATCCAATATCAATGTGCTTATACCTAGTACATGCTTGAATGGAGTAGGAAGAAGTCAGACTTATCCAGTCCTACCCCATGACATCATCTTACCATCATTGGTTTGCAAACAGTATCTCTACATAGATAATTATCTTCTACACCACACAAGTAATATACAAAAGAATTATTACATAGTGTTAACATTCATACACCACACCCACAATGTTCCATCTAATTAATCATTGAGCCTGTTCTTGCATATATCTTGATTGACACATACCTTTATATTTATGTTTAAACTCGTCAATTCTATTACTATTTTTTATGTC